ATAAACTGATATAACAACAAAAAACTATCCTAAGTAACATTCAATAGTAATATTTTACTTTAAACATATTAATTAAAAACAATAAACTTGAACAAAACAACTTTTGCAATTGAAAAAAAAAAAGAAATTGATACTTAAACTTTTATATAAATAATAATAATGATAAGTCTAGTGACATAATAAAAGAAATTAATAACATATTTTCATGAGTTGAAATAAAATTCTTGTTATTTATTGATTTATTTTTTACTTATCATTTCAATCAATAATTGTTTCATTATAATAACCAAATTTTCATCATTTGTTATTCTCCTTTCGTCATTGTCTGCCATTCGTGTCATTGCACTCGCAAGTTGGGTTATAGATTGTGATAGGCTCTGTAAAGTTTACAAATACTCCTAAATATTAAACAATATTTATACCTATGTTCTGCTAAAGTAATATTAAAATATTTATTATCTAGTACTTGAAAATTAATTTGTATTTTTATGTAAAATGAGGGACAAGGGTGTAGTTAAGAAATTAAAATTGATGTACAGATATTATTGTCTAGTATCGATGCACATTTTATTGAAAACAAATTAATACTAGAGCAAAAGAAAACTTAATTTTTTGAGCCATTTTTATACATATTTATTTATTATATACTTTTGTATTTTGTGCATTGGTTTCAGCCAACTTTGTAAACGTATCTCTTGCATCACTTAATTGTGTTCTCAAATTTTTGCGAACTAAATCAAAATGTTAATATAGTAATAACTGCAGTATAAAATTTAAAAAAAAAAAAACAATTACTACTACCCATGTTATTTTCATTCTGAGACATTTTTTTTTTGTGTGTTTTGAATATTGGCGATAATTTTCTTTTTAAATTAGATGAGGAAGGTGTACTGATGTTTGGGGTCAGAAGTATACTAGTTGTAGGTGCAATGAATGATGTTTCTTCAACAATAATATTTTCATCAAAATCAATGCTTTCCTGCTCAACATTGTTTAAGTTTTCCTCTCTAAGCAAGAAGTTATCATCATGACCTACATTAAATGATACATATCTTAGAAAATTTATTGTCCTTAAAGAATTGTTTTCTAAGAACGAGTAGTTAAATAATTACTGTTGTGATCAATATCTGGTCTCATTGTTAACCTAATAGGTACTGCATCTAAAATGGTAATATCTCCTGCAGCCATACGTTCTACATCTTCAGACTAAATAATATAGTAAATGTGCATAATATAGTATTTTGTGTTTCATTAAAATTTTTTAATTTCATAAATTAAATATATTTTAATACCTGTTCTTCAGGCCAAGAATCTGGACATGATGTCCCTTCTACATAGTCATAGCCCATGACACTTAAAACTTTTTGATCTGAGTCAGTCAACTCTGGGATATTATTTTTTTTATTTCCTGTCTGCCTTCTAGCATTCCGCAAGGCTGATGCTTGTTTGGAGACTTTTGTTTTTAAGTCTCTCCATGACTACAAGAAAAAATAAAGTAAAGTAAAGTAAAGTAAAGTATAAAGGAAATTCATTTCCAAAAACATATTATCGAGGGGTGACACCTTGGGGGTAATAAGTGTACAGGGTGATGGTAATCATGGGTATTCATGGGTAATCATAGGTAATCTTTGTAGTAAATCATGGGTAATCATAGGTATAATCATTGAAATCAGTAATCTGGTGTACAAGATTTCTGTCAGGTGTCTACCCCTCTCATAATATAGTATAATATTTAAACATAATATATTCCATTCCTAAAATGTGACAAAACATGCAAATACAAACTTTGCACTCAATTTTCCATTTTATAAAACAAATTTATAGCTAACCTAGAATAATCTACAACTACTACAAAAAAACATGCAAATGCAAGAAGTTCCAAACCTTTTTAATAACTTATAATTTTCTTTAAAAACTATTTTAAATTGAAAAAAAAGTTGTTTTTGTTTTATTCAATACTAACCTCTTTCCACGATTTTACATCCTTTTCTTTAATGCCCGGGTTTCTTAAATTATTTAGTTGTTTCACTAACTCTTCCCATGAACCATTCAATTTATCTTTACCATTTAGGCAATTAAATTTTCCACTAGCAACATGAGGATGTTGTACCATATAATCAATTAAAAACAAAGATTGCTTATCATTTCTACGTCCTTGTCGTGACTTTTTTATAAATTTGTCCTGATTCTGGTTACTGCTACAACATAAATAAATCAATATTTTTAAACAATTAAATAAATACATATATTAAATTTATAAATAATAATTACAATAGTTACCTGCTTTGAGAATTTTCCATTTTAAACACAGATAGTAAAGTCAAAATACGTTAATAAGTTATAACTTATACTTATAACTACTAATCACTAACTAATTAGTAATTAATTGTTAAGTAAACTTATAACTGTTATAACGAATGTCGGATCGGATTGATCGTAATATATAATACAAATTTAAATTACAATAATTATCATAACACTTTAATGATAATAATTAACATAATTTTAAAATGATAAGAGCGGGCTGCTTTCATTGGCTAGATTTTATAATCTCCCATTGCTTCAACGGTGGCTGACGAATTCATATCGAATATTCGATAACCAATTATGTAACGATGTTTTATCGATAGAGTGTTTTATAGAATCGCAACTCTGATATCGGTTTTCGATACATAATGGATTACTGGATAACGAATGTTTATCGTTATAATTCGATACGATATTATCGAGTTACAGAATCGATCTGCTGCGATGTTAGCCACTCAGTGACGCACGCCCGGAGCTCGTCGTCGTCATCAAAACGCTGTGTCGCTAGCCAGTTCTTCATCTTCGGGAACAAGTGAAAATCACTCGGTGCTAGGTCGGGACTGTAGGGTGGATGTGGGAAAATCTCCCATTTGAATGAGTCAAGAAGTTCTGCAGTTCGATTTGCCGTGTGAGGTCGGGCATTGTCATGAAAAAACAAAATTTTTGACGATAACTTTCCTCGGCGCTTGTTTTGCACTGCTCTTCTAAGCTTGCGCAATGTTTGGCAGTACCGATCAGAGTTGATTGTTGCACCACGCTCGAGAAAGTCAATAAGCAGCACACCTTGCCTATCCCAAAAGACAGTAGCCATAATCTTCTTCGCTGACAAGGTTTGCAAAAATTTTTTTGGTTTTTTGGGGGAACTTGTGTGTCCCCACTCCATGGACTGTAATTTTGTCTCGCAATTGACGTGCTTCACCCACGTCTCGTCACCCGTAATGATTCGATCCAGTAAAGAATCACCATGTGTGTGGTAGGCGTCAAGAAATGTTAAGGCTGCACCCATTCGCTGACCTTCATGGAGGTCTGTAAGCATTTTTGGCACCCATCTTGCACACAATTTATGGTAGCCAAGCTTGTGAGTCACAATTTCAAACAGCAAAGTCCGTGAAACTTGTGGGAAGCAAAACGAAAGCTCCGTTATTGTGAAGCGACGGTTTTCAAGAATCTTCTCATCAACTTTGGCGAGAAGATCGTCTGTCACAATGCTCGGGCGTCCACTCCTCTCTTCATCATGCACGTTGGTTCGGCCATTTTTAAACCGGATACACCATTTTCGCACTGAACTTTCATTCATTACGTCGTTGCCATACACTCCGCACAGTTGCCGATGAATTTCTATAGGTTTTTCGTTTTTTGCTAACAAAAACCGTATTACGGACCTCACTTCACAACTGGCGGGATTTGAAATTGCAGCGCACATTTTAAATTGGAATATTGGGAAAACGGGCTGCGTAGAGATGTTCTCGTTCTGACAGCTGGATGCAGACCATAGCAGTGTTGCCATATAAAAATTCTTGAAATCCTGAGGTAATGTTTAAAAATCCTCGGTTTTCCTGCTGATTGTACTAGTAAATCCTCGGAATTCCTGCAACTTTTTTTTTTATCACGTGACAAGCAGATTCAAAAATTATATTGATTAAAATCTGGTGATAACAACTGATAAGTCATAATCATGCCAATTCTATGGTATGATTCTGTAGTGATACGGTATTATCACCACCATATTTTGTTTTTATATCGCCTCCATACATAATTTTTATGCATTAATTGAATAAAAATATTAAACATCTTTATTATCTATGATTGCCTCCCTAAAAGTAAACTCGGTCATAGATAACCCAAATAACTAATCTCTATTCTGTACACTGTACAGGGTACAAACTACAAACATCCGACAATTAACTATTAAAAATGTACAGTACTGTCAGTACTTTATAAATTTATTATTATAAAATACATATTGTTCTGTTTTTTTTGAGTTTTCATAGTTTTGCATACATTTTTATATCAATATGTCAAGTAGTGATGATGAAGGTCCAAAACTTGGTTCAAAGAAAAAACCATACACACCAAAATTTAAGGAAGAATGGAAAAAACATCCAGAATTTGCTTCATGGTTGTGTAAAGGTAAAACGGATATATATTTTCACTGCAATGTTTGTTTCAATGACTATTTGGGTGGTTTTTCGGCAATAAAACGTCATTCAAAGTCTGACAAACATAGGAATAATTCAAAATCAGTTTCAGTTTCAAACCCCATTAATAAAATGCAAAAACTTGTACAACATACAAGTCATGAATACCAAATAAAACAGGCAGAAATAAAATTGGCAATGTTTATTGCAGAACACAATATTGCTTTTCAGACAAGCAATCATGTTGTATCTTTATTTAAAAGTATGTGTCCAGATTCAAGTGTATTACAAGGTATATCATGTAATCGTACAAAAAATACGTCGATAGTAAACAATGTAATTGGACAGTATGAATTTGAATATTTACTAGAAGTTATGAAGTCTCAAAAATTTTCTATTCTTATCGACGAATCTACAGATCACTCTTCTGTTAAACATCTCTATAATTGTTCGAATTTTAGACTACAGTAATTATGTGGTAAGAGATAATTTTTTATGCTTACTTCAAATTGCAAGCGCTACTGCTGTCAACATTTTTGAAAATATAAAAACATTTTTTACTGAGCATCATATCCCCTATCAAAGAAATCTTGTGGGATTTGCATCTGATGGGGCAAATACGATGTTTGGGAATAGACACTCTGTCAAAACGTTACTTGAAGAAGATGTACCTGGAATATTTGTCATAAAGTGTATATGTCATTCATTGGCACTTTGTGCTTCCTATGCTTGCGAAAAAATTCCAAATAACATAGAAGAAATGGTAAGAGATATTTATAATTACATGAAGCAAAGTTTTAAACGATTATCAGAATTTAAAGAGTTCCAAGTATTTGTTGATTGTAAACCTAATAAGCTTTTACAACCATGTCAAACGAGATGGTTATCTCTAACTTCTTGTATAAAGCGTGTATTGGAACAATATGATGCTTTAAAGTTGTATTTTCAAGGTGAAAACTTAATTGACAATAAAGCATCCATCATATTTGCTAATTTAACTGATCCATTAACTAAGTTATATTTACATTTTCTAGAATTTGTATTGCCAATACTCGTTGATTTAAACGTAATATTCCAATCTACAAAACCAAAAATCCATGAACTGTATTATAAAATGGAAGTAATTTATAAAATGATTTTAGAATGCTATATGAAACCAGAATATTTGAACTCAAATGATATTTCTAATATCCAGTACAGAAACCCAATTAATTTTCTTCCTTCGGAAAAAATTTACCTTGGAGGAACTTGTACTGTGGCTCTTAAAAATAATAATTTAATTTCTAAGACAGCTCGGGAACAATTCCGAACTAATTGTTTAAATTTTTATGTTGAGTGCTCTCATCAGATATATAAACGATTTCCATTTAATTCGGCTAATGTTCAATTATTAAAACTGCTATCGTTCTTAAACCCAAATAAAATTAAAGATATACCGTCGATTGCTATTGTTTCATCAAAATTGCCCACCTTAAATCTTGATTTGAATGCCATTGACCGGGAATGGAGGCAACTACGTAATGAAAACCTTAATTTTAACGATGATGTACTTGAATTTTGGAAAACCGTAAAAAATATCAAAGTCAACGATGAAGAAACTTACCCATTAATTAATAGTTTGGTATCTCATTTTTTATTATTTCCTCACAGTAGTGCAAGTGTAGAACGGTTATTTAGTGCCATCAACTTAAACAAAACCAAAATTCGTAACAGATTATGCACAGAAACACTAACTGGAATATTATATACAAAAAATTTTCTAAACAGACAAAATAAAAGTTGTTTTGATGTTGATATTCCTAAGGATATGTTTAAAAAACTCAATGCAAATATGTACAAATGACATTTATTTGATGAATACCTAAACGTATTTATATACATTATTATTATTAATCCTAAACTTGTTATATTATTATTTATATTTTCATTATGAAGCTCAGTTATTTTTTAATTTAAGTTTTATACTAAGTTTCATACTGTATGCAATAAAAAGATTTATTTCATGTTTTTTTTTTCAATACCTACTTAATTTTTTGTTTTTTATATTTTGTTATTATGTGTTATTAACTTAAATATTACAATATATTTGTATTGTACAAACAAGTATAAATTAACTATATTATTATTATTATTATTATTATTATTATACCTGAACTTGTTATATTATTAAATACATTAGATTGTAAAAAACATATAAGACTTAAAAGTTAAAACTGTGTTCCTTAATTTGAATTTGTTATGTAGCTAGTAGCTCAGTTATTTTTTAATTTAAGTTGTATACAAAGTTTCATACTGTATGCATAAAAAAGATTTATTTCATGTTTTTTTTTCAATACTTAATTTTTTGTTTTTTATATTTTGTTATTATGTGTTATTAACTTAAATATTACAATATATTTGTATTGTACAAACAAGTATAAATTAACTATATTATTATTATTATTATTATTATACCTGAACTTGTTATATTATTAAATACATTAGATTGTAAAAAACATATAAGACTTAAAAGTTAAAACTGTTTTCCTTCATTTGAATTTGTTATGTAGCTAGTAGCTCAGTTATTTTTCAAACTTAATTTTCATACAAAAGTACTGTATGCAATAAACATATTTATTTCATGTTTTTTTTCAATAAATCAATTTTTATTATTATTTTGTTACATGTGTAAAAAAATCTTTTACTTGAGATCTATATCAACCTACACATTGTGGAAGTCTAGTTATGATAATTCTACTATAAATACTGAGGGAGAAAAGTTGTCCCGCGCAAGTGCAGTTTTTGCTATGTTCTACGTTTGTAAGACGGAGACAACGCATGCGGGTGTGACGACCTCATAATTAATATTACATAAT